ATTGACTTACTCAATTTCTTCTTTTCTTATGGGTCTCTTCAAGTATTGTGGTGTAGTAAATTACATAGTGTGGCTTTTCTAGCCATAAGTCTTTGTAAACACCATGGTGGAATTTGCTATGAGCAACTGAGTAGGTCCTGATTGTTAAAGTTATCCCTCTGGGGTATTTCAGCAGCCTGCCATGCTCTGCTGACCTTGGGACTTTCGATGGACCTGAATTAATGGCCTGCCATGTGGTTTGGTAACATCGGTACTGTGCTATTTTGTTTGTCGACCTTGGGCTTATTAGCCTCAGCAGCCAGTAGTTGCCTGAGTGAAGTGATGCCTCTGGCTTCAGTGGGCCAGGAGCAAGAGCAGAGCTGAAGCCCAAGGTCAAGGGGCTTTCACACAGCCCCTAGAGCCTGGCACTTGGAACTTGGACTTCTAGCCTCCCAAACTGTAAGAGAATAAACTCCTGTTTGTTCAAGCTATCCCTTTTGTGGTATATTTCTGTCAGAGCAGCACTAAGTAACCAAAACAACTCCCTATTTCGCTGTTTATATTTTTTGTGAGCTTATTTTGAGAATCTTTTTCTGGGTTGGTTTTTAGGTAGCAGTGTCAAGTGTCTTGGCTGTAATTTGTTGTTCTCTGTTGTGGGTTCTCTATTGAAAAGACTTCCTTTAGCCTTTCTTGTATGATTGGTCTGGTTTTCACAAATTCCCTTTATTTCTGTTTGTCTGAGAATGTCTTGATTTCACCCTCATATTTGAGGGACAGTTTGGCTGGATTTATAATTCTTGGGTGGCAATTCTTTTCCTTCAAGGTTTTGTATATGCCATTTCATTGTCTTCTTGTCTGCATGGTTTCTGCTGAGAAATCAGCTTAGGCTTACTGGTTACCCATTGTAGGTGATATTTCATTTTTCACTTGTATAGCTCCATCTACCACTTTTATCCACTTCTTGAACATGGTGTTACTGGTGAAATGTCCATCTGGAGTTAGGTTTGTTCTCTTCACTTCTTTCAGTGGAGGTGAAGGAAGATGGGTCAGCCAGGTCATAATCTGATGGCTAATCTTCTACACATCATCCTTCTTAGTGACACCAGCCTTTCAGGATATTTCCCTGTGTTTTTGCCCTGAATATCCCCAATTACTAAGAAAAAGACAAAATGCTATCAGAATATACTGTTCTTTGGTGTATGTGGCAGAAATTAAGGAGGGGAAACAAGGTTCAACATTCATTCCTGATCCCATGAAAATGACTCATCATGTTTGTTGCTTTTGAGCCACTCATAGTGACTTCTATAACATCCAGACTTAGAGACCTATCAGTTGTTCTTGAAATTTTTTTGCTGAACTTCTTCTTACATAGATTTTCCCCAGTAGTTTTTGGTAGCTGCTAGCCCAAGAGACAGAAAGTGTCTGCTTCCCATTAGTTTCAGAAAAATCCTTGAATAAAATTACATTGATGTGACATGGGTTACAAGTCATCCATGAGCTAAGCATTGGTCATAGAGCATATGTGCTTTTAATTGGTCCCACCTGGGTCACATGTCTATTCATAAACCCCAATATGTAAGCCCATCCTCTGTGCAGTAACCACAAAGGTCAGTTCAATTATGTCACACTTTACTCAAACCGCAAATCCCCACCACCACCTTTAAAAAACATTCCTCATATCACTCAGAGTAAAAGCCAAAATGCTAGCATTGACTATAATGCCCCTTATTACCTATCTGCTCCCATTTTAATCCACTCTGTCTTCCTTACTCTGCTTCAATGACCTCGGCTTCCTAGATATTCCTTGAAAACTCTAGTAGTTTCACATCAGGATGTTTTACTTTCTGCTCCCCAAGGCTGCGACAGCCCACATCTCTCATTCTCTTTCATCCTTAAGATCTTAGTGGGTTTTATTATCATTATTATTGTTACTTTGTTTGAAATTAAAATTATCCCAGTTGTTTTCTCTGGAGTGCTCATAACAATCTAACATGTTGTAGGTATTTATTAATTCATTTCACCAGCTGTGTCACTTCAACCATCTAAAATATAAGATTTAATAAGATGAGATGAAAATACATAGTAGGCTTTCAGTATAATAATTATTGAATGAACCAATGAATAAATGAAAATAAATTAGGATCGAGTAGTTCCCCTACAGAAATAAGAGCACTGTTTCTAGAAGGATGGATGGATGTAAGGCAACCATAGAACCCCAGAGATGCACGAATCGAGGGGACACCATTAACATTGTATTCTGTCTCCAGGAGGTGCTGTTCACATCAGATAAAGTGTACACTCCACCTACCTATATAAGACCCAGGGGGATAAAAGCTATCTTTGTCTAGTACCAAGATCTAGACTAAAAATAGACTTGTGCTATATCTAAAATTGTTTCTAAAGTGGGACTTTGACAAAAGAAGGTTCAGCTAAAGGGAAAATGAGTGGGTCATGAATACCATATACTCTTCTGCATAATTCTTCTGTTGATACAAACAAACAAAAAAAAAACTCACTGCTGTCAAGTCAATTCGACTCATAGTGACCCCTCCTTGGGTCTTCAAGGCGGTATCTCAACAGAAGTAGATCATCCAATCTTTCTTCTGAGCAGTGGCTGGTGGGTTTGAACCATCAGCCTTCTGGTTAGCAGTCAAATGCCTTAGGCACTATGCCACTAGAGCTCCCGAGCTCTGCTGATACCATGAACTCTTTATAAGCCCTATTTTAATTAGTAACATTGGAATTACATTCTATTCATCACCAAGGAAACCATATATAAGCTGTCATTTGGCTCATTACTTATTCTGGATTTCCATTTTACTCATATTTAAAAGATGGAGAAAGTAAAAACGATGACATTACTTACAGAGTTAGTGAGACTATTAAGTGACTGACAGTGTAAATACTCCTACATAAAAGCACTAAACAAATGAATTATTACTATAGGCCTTCATAACCATTGTTTTTAATTAAATATTTAAAATACATTTTATCTATAAGTCTACTCAAGAAAATCTAAGTACAAAAGTAATTTTATTTGTTTTTATTTTGCATTGTTTTGTTTTCTTGCTGTAGGAAATCATGGACATTGAAGCATATTTTGAAAGAATCAGGTATACAGACTCTAGGAGAAAATTGGACTTGGAAACATTAACTAACATCCTTCAACACCAGATCCGAGCCATTCCCTTTGAGAACCTTAACATCCATTGTGGAGAACCGATGGAGTTGGGCTTAGAGCCCATTTTTGATCAAGTTGTGAGGAGGAAGAGAGGTGGATGGTGTCTCCAGGTCAATCACCTCCTGTATTGGGTTCTGACCACAATGGGATTTGAGACCACAATGTTAGGAGGTTATGTTTATAGCACTCCAGATGACAGATATAGTAGAAATATGATTCACCTCCTATTGCAGGTGACCCTTGATGGCAGGAACTACATCATGGATGCTGGATTTGGACGCTCCTATCAGATATGGCAGCCCCTGGAGCTAATTTCTGGGAAGGACCAGCCTCAGATTCCTTGCATCTTCCACTTGAGAGAAGAGGGAGGAATCTGGTACCTGGACCAAATCAGAAGAGACCAGTACATTCCAACCAAAGAATTTATTGATTCTGATCTCCTGGAAAAGAATACATACAGAAAAATCTATTCTTTTACTCTTGAGCCTCGAACAATTGAAGATTTTGAGACTGTGAATACATACCTTCAGACATCTCCAGGATCTGTGTTTACAAGTAAATCTTTTTGTTCCTTGCAGACACAGAAAGGGGTTTACTGCCTGGTGGGCTTAACCCTCACTTCTCGAAGATTCCGTTATAAGGACAATATGGATCTTCTAGAGTTTACGGCCCTAAATGAGGATGAAGTGGAAGAAGTGCTGAAGAATGTATTTAATATTTCCTTAGAGAAAAAGCTTGTGCCCAAACATGGTGACCGATTTTTTACTGTTTAGAGCAAAAGTGGTCATCAGTACTACTTCGGGTACTTAAAGCTTTTAGTTTTGAAAATTTTAAACATATACAAAAGTGGGGAGAATAGAATAATAAACTTATCTTGTGTATTAATCATCCAGATCATCAACTCGCAATTCATGGTCAATTTTATTTCTTCTATACACCCAGATTATTGTGGAGAAAATTCTAGACATCAAATCATTTCACTCACAAAAAATCCAGTACATATTATTAAATGAGAAATTTTAAATAAAACATAACCATAAACCTTTTAAAATTAATAACAATAGTGAAATTTTATTATTACAGACTGGGGTTATCTTGGGAAACAATTGTGATTTATGCTGGAAAATCTTTAGTATTTTTCAAAGTTGAATTCATAGAAAAATATGGTAATACAATATGGAAGAGACCATTTCCATTAAGAGGAAGCAGCCTTTCAACATTCACATAGAAGGAAAGCCGAGCAGGCAGGAATGACTAGTTAAGAAGGGCACAGGGAGTGAGTAGTCACAGGGAGGGGAGGAGAGGAGAGTTTTTTATGGTTGGGGATGATAATCAGGGCATGAAATCAAATGTACATGAATTGTTGAATATACAACAAATTTGATTTGTAAATTTGCACCCAAAGCACAATTTAGGAAAAAAAAGAGGAAGCAGCCCTTTACAGGACCCAAACAGTGATAGTTCCTCACTTTCTACTAGCATACTTAGGCTTAAGAAATAAACCACCACCACTACCACCACCACCCAGAAGCTCTGGTAGCATAGTGCCTAAGGCACTTAACTGCTAACCAGAAGGTTGGCGGTTCAAACCCACCAGCCACTCTTCAGAAGGAAGATGGAGCAATCTACTTCCATAGTGATACTTCCTCAGAAACCCAAGGAGGGGTCACTATGAGTCGGGTCCGACTCCACGGCACAGAACAACAGCAACAACAAAACAACAACACCCAGTCTGGTAACTAAAAAAAACACAAACCAAACTCACTGCCATAGAGTCAATTCTGACTCATAGAGACCTCCTTTGGGTCTCTGAGATGGTAAATCTTTATGGAGGTAAATTGCCCAGTCTTTCTTCTGTGGAGTGGCTGGTAGGTTTGAACTGCAAACCTTCTGGTTAGCAGTCAAATGCCTTGCCACCAGAGCTCCTTAGCCTGATAACTAGCAGGGTTAAAGTGTTATAAATCCAGATTAGTGCCTACATGTCTAACCACCCCTTCCTCAGGTAGTCAGACTAGAAAGTCCATGTAGGGAATCACAAAGCCCCTGGAATATAAAATTGGCTAAAGGAAGAACTAGCTGGTCCCTTACCTACTGTGCAAAGTAGAGTCTCCATCTCTACCAGGATAGCTTTGTTTGACCGAGAGGGGGCCCACTCACTATGAAACTGTTCCTGTGATTTGCTGTCTTTCTTCTGTAATTAAATGGCCTGTGTTTACCAACACTTTGTGAGTGTTTCATGTATGTGGCTCAACCAGATTAGATGGACAAAGCACCCATAGAGGAATTGATGCTGCTACTTGGGGTCTTCATCCTAGTATTGTCACTTCTTGGAATTTTAGGATTGTCTCTGAGACAGCCTGCATATATCACACATTCATTAAATTCTACCAGCATTTATCCTCTATTTACTTTCTACAAAATACTGCATGTATACAGGGAAGAGACATCATGCTCAACTGCACATATAATTCATAAAAATTTTGTTCTACAACCTACTCTGGTGAATAGTGACTGGGGTCTTAAAAGCTTTCAAGTGAACATATGAGATGCAACTATTGGTCTTCTCTCCTGGAGCAAAGAAGAGTGACAAAAATCAAAATCATCTGGAAACAATTAGTCCAAAGACAAGATGGACCATGAGGACCTCAGCCTGCATGACCCAGAGACTAGAAGAACTAGATGGTGCCTGGCTACCAATGCCAACCGCTCAGAGAGGGATCAAATCTGGACAGCCTGGATAGAGTGGGAAGAAAAACATGGAACACAGTTCAAAAACACAAAAATGACCAGAATTACTGGTTGGAAAGACTGGTGGAACCCTCTAGACTATGGCCCCAGGTTATCCTTCAGGCCTAGAAATAGACTCTTACATAGATTGACTCTTAGCCCAACAGTAGAAAGACCTACATACAGGTTGATGTACCCACCTACCCTAGGGAGATGCACCCCTTGGATCAATCAGCCATGAGACACCAGAGGGGTAGCACTCACATAGAGGAAAAGCTAGACAGACAGGTATGCATAGATAAGAAAGGCACAGGGAGGGGGTGGTCACAGAGAGGAGAGAGGAGGAGAGTTTTATGGTTGGGGATGATAATTGGGGCTGTGAAATCAGTTGTGCATGAACTGTTGAATGTAAAACAAGTTCGCTGTGTAAATTTTCACCCAAAGTGCCAAAAAAAATTACTGCACGTATAACTTGAGATCAGAACTCAACAAAGAAACATGAAATATGGTATTTGCCCCCAAAAAACCTAACAGTTCCCAGGGCAAGATTGAAACCAATACATTGTACTATATGACTAGGTATCAAGAAAGTGGCACAGTAATAATTTCTGTTGCAGTGTCTTTTAGCAACCCTGGTTATTCATGTACCATATTCTTAATACAGGAATACAATATCAGATTAAGAATTTTCAACTTCCCTTTCCTCTTGCCTTGGCACTTCTTTGTTGGTATTTTTGGCTAGTTGCCTGTCCAGCATACACAAATGCCCATGCCAGAAATATTAGGAATATATAATGGAGAAATGCCATGGAAAAATGAGTGGAATATAGAAGTGGCCAACTTGAGAAAATATAGGCTCTTCCTCTCTCCCTGTTCCACCACCCATTTCCAAAATTCTTGCACCATGGATTATACTTTCCAATAAACAATTGGATTTAAATATTTTCTTAGGTGCTACTCTCTGTAGGAGTAGTATTTGAGTGGCATTTAAAATTATAGGAATGAATGACATAACCCAGAGAGTATGTGTACATTAGGAAGAGAAAGTGGTCCACAACTAAGGCCCTATCTTCTTTATAGTTTGTAGAGTATAATTTCACTGGTATAAAATGAGAACACACAAAACCATACAATATACTCCTTTAGTATAAATATAGGAAAATACATAGCAAAATGTCTGGGTGCCTATATACCAAACATAATATTTGTTCTAAGAATGTGAGCAGGAATGACATGAACCAACTTCCAGGTTTAGCGATGAACACCTCCCAGCAATGTGGTCTTCACTCTCTTTCTCTATTGGGTATATGAAAAAGATACCTAGGACTTAGAGGAGAGTTAGGACACAAATGGAGGAAGAAGAAAGGAGCAGCCAGGGTCCCTGAATGACTGTGTGGCACAACATGAACTGTGAGCTGGTAAGAAATTGGTTTTTCTTTCTTTTAACTTTTTATTGTGATTTGGGTGAAATTTTACAAAGAAAATTCATTTTACATTTAACAGTTCATACACATTTTGTTTTGTGACACTGATTACAATCCCCACAATGTAACAGCTCTCCTCCCACTTCTTTCCCATGGTCACACTTTCCCTACACATTCAAATGTCCCTGAGTTTCTCCCAGTACAAATGCTGATCTCTCATAGTTGATTTTTCCAAGGAGTGCATAACTCTGGTATAGTTTAGTTGTTCAGCTCATAGGCTGAGGAATTGGTTTTTGAAGGTGTTTATTTGCTTTTTTGTTTCAGAGGCTGGCTTCATTTACCTTAACATAAAAATTAGAATACAGTTTGTTGAACATGTAGGTTTTTTTTCCCCCTATTTTGTTTTTTAATCAAAGTGAATTGGAGATTGAAAAATAAAGCACTATTATTTAGACCTGGGCAGGAATAAAAGAACTAGGGCAGGAACTGGGTTGTGGCTCAGTAAACATCTGCCTTAGTGTGATCATACAATTTATTGACCAAATAGTATTTGAGAGTAAAGGGAAAATTTACTGGGACAATGGTGTTAACCAGTACTATACCAAACAAACCACGAGAATCATTCTACTCAAAAAACTATCACAAAAAAGAAAAAAGAAAGAAAAATTCATTGCCATTGAGTTGATTCTATAACTGCCCTATAGGGTTTTCAAAGCTGCAAATCTTTATGGAAGCAGATTGCCTCATTTTTCTCCCATGGAGCAGCTGGTGAGTTCAAATTGCTGACCTTTTGACTAGTAACCAAATGCCTTAACCACTGTGCCACCAGAGCTCCAAAAACAGACCTACATGAAAATTCAGAGTAGCTGTTCCACCAATGGTCCTTTAAATACACCAAGGCAGAGGAAGGTTCATCTTCCAAAGGTCTATAGGTTAGGCTCAGGCCATAATCTAGGGCTTTGGATCTCAAAAGCCTTCACAAGAACCTAGGTGAGAACTGAAAGTTTAGATACACTTTGATCAATCATAGTATCAGGGAAGAAAGCTAGTAATTTCAGAAATCTTTGAAATCTTCCGGCTTGAGAAGTCCAGTTGGAGTGAATAAGGGCAAGATCTGAGGAGTCCAAATGTGTGGGGTCAGACTCCAGCTCTGCCACTTACCAAATGTATGCTCAGAGCAAGTTATTACCTTTTTTCAGCTTCAATTCACCTATAAACTGGGAACAGTAATGATAATAATACTTACCTTATAGGACTGTTGATGAAGATTAAGTTTGGTGATCAACAGTGCTTAAGACACAGAAAACATTTCATACATGTTAGCTATAGTTAGTTTTTTTGTGGTATAATATCCAATCTGCAATGTGTATCCCATTACCCTATCGGATACTAGATTTGTGGTCAAGCCTAGTGACCATGACAAGAGAACTCCTAAAGAGAGTGCAGAAAGATTGAGAGTCATGACCCTAAAGCAACTGCTTTAACTATCATAGTTTAAAAGAAATTTTCCTAATAGCATTTAGAGCCACTCCTCAACGGACCCTGCTCTGTCTTTGCCTCATGACTGGAGTGTCTTATTCCACCCAAGAGTTAGAGAGTTTCATCAAGTTTTGTCTGCCATC